ACACTCGCACACGCTCACTCACACTCAAACACGCTCGCACATGCTCACTCACACACGCTCGCACACGCTCAAACATACTCGCTCACTCACACTCAAACACACTCGCTCACTCACTCAAACACGCTCGCACACGCTCACTCACACTCAAACACGCTCGCACTCGCTCTCTCACACTCAAACACTCGCACACGCTCACTCAAACACGCTCGCACATGCTCACTCACACTCGCTCGCACACGCTCACTCACACTCGCTCGCACACGCTCACTCACGCAAAACACACTCGCACACGCTCACTCACGCAAAACACTCGCACACGCTCACTCACACTCAAACACGCTCGCACATGCTCACTCACACACGCTCGCACACGCTCAAACATACTCGCTCACTCACACTCAAACACACTCGCTCACTCACTCAAACACGCTCGCACACGCTCACTCACACTCAAACACGCTCGCACACGCTCACTCACACTCACTCACACTCAAACACACTCGCACTCTCACACTCAAACACACTCACACACTACTGCACATCTACTTGATTAGCTACAATTTAAAACATTCATAAGTAGATTAAAAATCTTTTTCAAGGAAGTCTTCTTTTCTAAAGGAAAGACGTGTGTCTGTGTGTTGTCTTGTGAAGGTGAGGAGGACAACACCGCGATTGTTTGGTTCTGGCTTCACGAGGGAAACCCTCAGCGCTGTCCGTCCTGCGGCTCGCACTACAAACTGGTCCATCACGAGCTGCCACACTGAGCTGGACCACACAAACACCTAAACCTCTGCAGAAACCGCTGCCTGCCTATGCCAAACATGTACAGGAGTCAATAATAAAAACTATTTAATACAATAAAAGGATCATGATGGTTTTTTTGTTCCATTGTAATGTAAAAAAAAATGCTGAAGATAAAGGTAATTGCAACTTTTTTCTCATAATGCTCAGGGAAAAAGTCAGAATTGCAAGATATAAACACTGCAGACTTTCTCGCTTCTCTTGAGTTTATATCCTGCAATTCTGCGTTTATATTGCTCTCTTCTGAGTTTATAGCTTCCAATTGTTTCTTTTTGTTTCCACCAAATAAAGAAAAAAAAGGTAATTGCAATATATATCGTGATTATATATATATATATATATATATATATATATATATATTGAAATTTATTCAATATCGTTTTTTTCATCAGTTTTTTTTCTCAGAATTGCGAGTTTATATTTAATAATTCAGATGGTTTTTTTCCTGATAATTCAGATTTTCTATCTCATAATTTAAACTTTTTTTTGTCAAGATTGAGTTTATCTCATAATTCCCCCCCCCCCAGAATTGCATGTTTAGATCTCATAATTTGAACTTTTTTCTCAGAATTGTGACTTTATATCTCAAATCAGACTTTCCTCAGAATATCTCAATTATGACTTTTTTTATTCTCAGAATTGAGAGTTTATATCTAAATTTGGACTTTTCTCAGAGTTTTGCATTTACATCTCGCATTTCTGTTGTTTGTTTCTGCCACGTAATAAAAAATGGGAAATTGCAGCTTTTTATCTCACAATTCTGACTTTTGCTTCATGCAACTGCGAGTTTATATCTCACAAGACTTCTTCAGATTTTTTCCCACAAAAAGTCTGAATTGTGACATATAATCTTATAATTGTGAGAAAAAAAGTTGCAATTATTTTTTTTACTTCATGGTGGCAACAAGCTTTCATACAAACCACAACTAAAACGCATGGGGGGAAAAATCACAACATCAAATCTAGAAAATTTTGAGTTTATTTACAATTTACAAACAGGAAAAATTTCAGCATTTGTTTGATTGCTTCCTTCAGCACCCACACAATGGCACAGCAACTAGAAGCTCACACAGTATAGACACACGTGTGAGGAGCGGATTAAGACTTGAACTTGAATCATCAAACCCACTTATTATTTGCATTGGTCATAAATTATTACTCAGAATGTTATCAGTGGCATTTTATTTTATTCTGTAATCATGCAAACTTCTTAACCCCCGTAAGACTTTGCATTGCCAGTCCAGTATATGAACATTATAACAGCGATGAACACATTGAGTTTTCATGAGACGCGCGGATGAATCTGCTGCTATCAGATTTTGATACTTACTCAAACTTCAAAAAAATGTAAAAGTAACAGCTCAAAACAATCTATATGTGTGTGTTTTCGGTTAAGGCACATGATCCTGCAAGGACACACACCACAAAATCATGTGCAGAACAGAATTATTCTGCATGAATATTCATCCAGTACATCCTAAAGTGAATCTGAACAGCGTGCCAAAATGTTTAAAAAAAAAGTCGCATAACATTCAGCAAATCCAACATCTTAGTATCTGTTGCATCTTACTGATTTAGCAAATGAGATTTCTGCACATCCATGAGGCGTTAGTTTGTGAAGTCATTTAGAATAAAATTATATTCTATGCAACTACAAAAAACAACAACAAAGGTTTTGTAATGCTAACAGTGTTACTATTTACACTACAATAAGATTGTATATGCTAACATTAGTTAATACTATCATTAACAATAAACAATAGCATTTAATAATCTCAGGGTTATTTCTACATACACTAATACATTTTAACAGTTAAGATAATAATAAACATTAACAGTACTTATTGCATTTTGAATGAATAATGAACAGTGTATTTATAAATTAACATTTATTCATTTATATTCGTAATTATATAATTCATTAATAAATGAATAAATTCTATACAATACAGTTGTTAATTTTTAGTTTATGATATGTTAACGTATAGAACCTTACTGTAGTGTGTTGCAGGTTTAAAGGAATATTTTACCCAAAAAATTTGCTGGAAATATACACACTCTCAGGCCGTCCGAGATTAGGATGAGTTTGTGTCTTCATCAGATTTGGAGAAATGTAGCATCGCATCACTTGCTCTGCGGTGAATGGGTGCCGTCAGAATGAGAGCTGATAAAAACATCACAATAATCCACAGCACTCGTCCATCAGTTAACATCTGGAGAAGACAAAAGCTGAGACAAATCCAGCATTAAGACGTTTTTAACTCAAACACGAGTCTATAATCCATAATAACTCTTCCTCCAGTGAGAAAGTGTTCTGGTGTGAATCAGGAGAGAAATCTGCACAGATCAAGCAGTGTTTAAACAGCTCTAAACACATATGTGGCTGGGTTTGGATGTGAGAGACGACAGGAGATGGACTTTTTCACCGGAGAAAGAGTTATTATGAATTATTTAAAACGGAAGCAACAGTTTGAAATTAAAAATGTCTTAATGACGGATTTGTTTCTTACAAACACGCAGCTTTTTGCTTCAGAAATATTAACTGATGGACTGGAGTGGTGTGGATTGTTTTTATCAGCTCTCATTCTGACGGCACCCATTCACTGCAGAGCA